GGGTATCAATCCCTTAATATGCGGATCCACTACGATGGAGTGCTATGTGCTCTATTGACTCATGTCCACTCTGAACTCTTTCTTTAACAGGTGGGAAGTTGATCTCTATATGTTTTGACTTCGTTGAACTTATGTTGTTATTGGAATATAACACTGCTGATTTATTGTTACAAAATAACTTGACAGTGGTCATTTTATACTATCCACAATACGCAGCCCAGTAACAAAATTTTGCAGCCATATTCTATGATTTGATGCCTCTTAACATGTTATAAACTCCGCTGCCATGGTGGAAGTAGCTATGAGTGTCTGCTTAGCACTTTTCCATGAAATAACACCTCCAGCAAGCAGGTAGATATAGCCTACTTCAATGGATTCAATGCTTCGCTAGTTGACCATGTAGCCCAAGGATTTTACCGAAGCGACACCAAAAGCCTACTTCAATGGATTCAACTTTATCTGATGCCTATTTAGGATTTTGAAAGTGGTTTACAGGTGTTCGATGTGATCTATCGTTTTGAGACTCTTCAAAAGCATGTCGTCGACGTACACCTCCATTATCTTTCCTATGAAATTGGCAAACATCTTGTTGACTAACTGCTGATAAGTCGCCCCAGCATTTTTAAAGCCAAATGACATGAGAAGTAGAGGCATCTGTCAGTCATGAATGAGATATTCTTCTCATTCCCTGGGTGCATGAAAATTTGGTTGTACCCTGAGTATGCATCCATGAAGGGCAAGAACTCATGGCTTGCTGTGGAGTCAACTAGCTAGTTGATTCTTGGAAGCGAGAAGCTGTCGTTTGGGCATGCTTGGTTGAGATTGGNACTAGCTAGTTGATTCTTGGAAGCGAGAAGCTGTGGTTTGGGGATGCTTGGTTGAGATTGGAAAAGTCTATGCAAAATCTCCACTTGCCATTGGATTTCTTTACTAAGACTGGGTTGGATATCCACCTTAGGTACATTGTCTCCCTAATGAAGCCATTGGATATGAGTTTTTGTACATCTTCTTTGAAGGCTCTGTACCTCTCTGGGTTCAAGGCTCTTATTTTTTGCTTGTGAGGTGTGAACTTAGGGTCCACATTGAGTCAGTGTCGACTAACTTGGGGGTCGATGCCCATCATGTCTTCGTGCTTCCATGCAAACATGTCTAAGTTGTTAAGCAGGAAACCTTTAAGTTTATATTTTCTTCTGACTTAAACTCTTTTCCTACTTGTAACACCCTTATGAGGTTGCAGGGGTCCACTCGGAAAGACTCGAGTTCTTCCACTAAGGTCACTTGTGAGTTTGATTCAATGACACTAGGGTCCAAATCCACCACGATGACCTCTTCTTCAGGGGCATCCATCATGTTGACGTCTCTCTCCTACATAGGGGTAGGATTTTCTTCAGGTGTATCAAACATTTCGATGTCTACAAGGACCATATTTACACTTCAATTTCCGGACTTCCTCAAAGAGCTAAGGTAGCATTCCCTCAAACCCATTTGGTCTCCTCGAACTGTAATAATTCCTCTCTCAATTGGAATTGTTATACATAAATGGTGTATAGAAGTAATGGCTCCCAGTTCTTTCAAAGTAGGTCGCCCAACACCCCATGGTAGGTAGATCGATGGTCTATAATGAGGAATTCCATATAGTAGTGTGCCGTAAGTGGTGGCTCCGCCATTTCCACTGCCATTGTGATTCTTCCCCTAGGAACAATGCTATCGCCAGTAAAACCATATAAGGGGACGAGGTCATGATATACCATCATCTTGTGATAGGTGGTTTTAAATAAGACGTTGACAGAACACCCATTGTCCACCAACATGCGCTTGAGCCCATTTCTATCTAAGATGACTCGTACCACCAGAGCATCAAAATGGGGATAATGAACCCCAGTGGTGTCTTCCTACGAAAAGGTTATTGGTGGGACACTTTTTGATCCACGAGCTATGCTATTGACTAACTAGTTTGTTATGGGAGGATCATTTACTTCTATCCCATAGTTTCTCTGAGCATTTCTAGAATCTTCTCTCACATGTGGACCACCAATAATGATGTCGATCTCCCTAATAGGCACGTTGTCTGCCTCAACTAGGGGTTCTCTCCTAAACCTTTGTCCTCTTCTTGGCCTACTCTTTTCCTTCTCGTGTTTCCTTCGAGGCAATTCATTTCTGAAATGTCGCCTTGCCTCACCATGTCTAGTTTCTCCATCGTGTGTAGGCTGGTGTGTGCTCATTTGTACCTAGTGGGTGTTTCTCCTTCCTTTATGGGGGCAAGTTGGCCCCTCATGATATGGCGTGGACATGCAGTTTAAAGTGATGTGGCTGTTGGTTCGATGGTAGGTGCAGTATTGCCTATCTTTGGGCTCCATATTCCTTCCCCTACCTCTTCATTTGGATTGATTTGATTGTCTTTGAGCCTCAAATCCAGCTTATTCGTATGCTAAAGAGGGTACCGCATTTAGCGTGGTAGTGGCTAATGTTTAGCCCGAAGTATGGACAATTGTATATCCTGCTTGGATCCATTGCTGGTTTACCAAGTACGGTACAGGACCTCACCGCTGTATCTGAGGTGGTGGGAGTTCCAACGAGGTTCGATTGCGATGATCAATAAGTTCTTCATTGACAATCTTCCTCCTCATCATTTCTACCAAGGCATCTTAAG